CTTGCTCAGGCAGGAAACTCTACCTATCATTTCTTCCCTCTACCCTGCATGTTGGCCAAAGTTACATTCAAAGATGGGGCAATACAGAGAAGGGGGAGGTGGAAACCCACCACCCAGTTGAATCTAATCCACGTTGTGAAATTGGGTTGGATTTCCCCCCCCTCCCCAATTAAGTTTCCCCTTGAGCCTCGCCAAGCCACTATGTCCGGGTCTCGGATTTAAAATTTTTTAAAAAAGAACCAGCATTCTTGTTTTTTCTCTCTGGCTCTAATCCCGGCTCTTCAGCTGCCACTTCCTTTCCATCAAAGGGCCGCCTTAGGGGAGATTTTCCAGCTTGTAAATCGGTGGCCTTCTCACCCCCAGAGCTTTCTCTGATCCAGAGAGAGAATTGCTTATTATTATTATTATTATTTTTAAAGCCCCATCTAGGGACAGGGGCAGCTGCCTTATCAGCCCAGAGGGCTTTGCTTTGGCCTTCCAATGGTACAATTAGAGGCCTCCTTAATGGACCTCCGATTTCACTGAATTAACTCTGACGGGCTGGGAACATTTCTCTTTTAAATGATGCAGAGAGACAGAGGTGGGGATTCAGCCGGTTCTGATCAGTTCTGGAGAACCGGGAGCGGAAAATTTGAGTCGTTCAGAGAACCAGCCAACCCCATCTCTTCTCTGCCTCCCATTGAGTCCCAGCTGATCGGCTGAGTCTTCTTTTGTTGCCCTTAGCTGAGACTTTCAAGAAGAGATTGGACTGCCATTTGTCAGAAGATAGATAGATAGATGATAGATAGATAGATAGATAGATAGATAGATAGATAGATAGATAGATAGATAGATACAGATAACCGATATAGATAGATAGATAGATAGATAGATAGATAGATAGATAGATAGACAGACAGATAGATACAGATAACCGATATAGATAAATAGATAGATAGATAGATAGATAGATAGATAGATAGACAGACAGACAGATAGCCGATATAGATAAATAGATAGATAGAGATAGATAGAGATAACCGATAAATAGAGAGATAGAGAGATAGACAGACAGACAGACAGATATAGATAGATAGATAGATAGATAGATAGATAGATAGATAGATAGATAGATAGATAGATAGATAGATAGATATAGGTAGGTAGATGATAGATAAGATGATAGATAGATAGATAGATAGATAGATAGATAGATAGATAGATAGAT